TATAATACTATACACCCTCAAAGGCTTACCGGCGTTATACAACCCATTCAAAGCAGCTATCAGGACATCGCCTCTACCCATCACCCTCGAATCTCTGTACTCACTGCTCTATATTGAGGAAATCAATCTGCAAAATGAGATCCAACAAGACACTACGTCTTCACCTGAGCTTCAGGCTCTATATGCCTCCAGAGGATGAGGGTGTAACACCAACTACAAGGGAAACCGTGGAAGAGGAGCTACCTTCAGTCCGACCACTGCATCTAACAGGATCATCACCAACATACCTAGGAATGATGAACGACCATCTGCCAAATTTGTGGCAAAATTGGCCATCTCACATTGGCTTGCTGGCACCGGTATAATTCCATCTACACTCCGCAATCTTCAACCAATCACACTCTGCTCACTCAAACGCAACCAACTGCTATTACGGACTGGGTACATGACTCCGGTGCCTCAACACACCTGACACTAGACATTGCCAATCTGCATTAATCTACTCCCTACCAAGGACAAGACTCAATCTCTATAGCAAGTGGCTCCTCCCTCCCCATTAATCATATCGGTGCTGGCCTTCTACCACTTCCAGACTCCTCTCATAAGCTTAAACTTCAAAACCTTCTCCATGTTCCCTCTCTTGCTTGCAATTTTCTCTCTGTCTCCAAGCAAACAAAAGACAACAACTGCTCCATCTTATTCGATTCTAACGGTTTCATTCTAAGGGATCTTCAGGACAACAAAACTCTGCTCCATGGCCGTAATCAGGAAGGAATCTACCCCATCCACCTTCCACATCAAACTCCTATCCATGCTCTCTCCATCAAACCGGACACAACCGCTCTCTGGCACGCACATTTGGGTCATCCTCATCATCGTTCGATGGCCAACCTATCTAGGCTCTTACCTACTATCAGCACAAAGTTTTTACATTTCAACTGCTTATCTTGTAAAGTGGCTAAAAGCCACAAGCTGCCTTTCCAAAGCAAGCAACTCATGTAACTACCCCTTTTAGTTTAATACACACAGACATTTGCGGCCCTTCTTCGATCCCTTCCCTCTCTGGTTATAGATATTATATACTATTCATTGATGATTGTACACACTTTTGCTGGTTATATCTGATGCACAAAAAAAAAAGAATCTAGTATAAAATTTCAACACTTCTATAACTTAATAAAAACCCAATTCACCAGCTCCATCCAAACCTTACGCTCAGATGGTGGAGGTGAGTACACTGGCCATGATCTTCAAACATTCCTACTAAAACATGGTATATGCCATGAGCTCAGTTGCCCTTCACACTAGAGCAAAATGACGTCTCTGAAAGGAAACATCGGCATCTCTTAGAAACCACACGTATGCTTCTCCATGCAGTAACTCTACCTGCCACCTTCTGGACAGAAGCTGTTCAAACCTCCAACTATTTAATAAACAGACTACCCACCTCCTCCCTAAATCATCAAATCCCGTTCCAGCTCCTGCACGGCAAACCTCCCTCCTACAACCACCTCAACATCTTCGGCTGCTCATGTTTTCCTTGGCTGAAGCCTCAAACATCGAACAAGCTGGAACCCCGCTCCAACCATTACATATTCCTAGGCTATTCGAGCTCTCATAAGGGATATCACAAACAAAATCTTTACATTTATCGACATGTCACTTTCAATGAACAACACTTTCCCTATACATTATCCCCCACCACTCACCCTCAACCTTCCACCAATAACAGTCCTCCTCTACTTCTCATTCCAACCTCAATACCCCTACACCTGCCAGCTCCTCATACTCCCAACTTCACATCAAACACTTCTACCTCTATCTCTCACACATCACCCATCCCTTCCTCTGACACATCAACCACTTCGTCTTCACCCATTCAAATTTCAAATTCTCCCCCTCCTGCGCCCAAACACCATATGCAAACTTGCATACAAATAGGGCATCTCAAACCAAGAAAATTCCTCAATCTACTTGTTGTAACAGATACAGGTCTCATTCCGTCCTTCTACACCAAAGCTGCCAAGATTCTTCAGACAAGTGATGTCTACAAAGTTCATGGCCCTTCAAAAATAGGGCACCTGGCATCTCACATCACCACCCAAAGACACACCAGTCTTCGGTTGCGGATGGACTTACAAAACCAAGCTCAACCCAGATGGTAGTGTTGCTTGCTACAAAGTAAGGCTTGTAGCTCAAGGATACAATCAAAAATAGGGCATCAATTATCAACAGACCTTCAGCCTCGTGGCTAAGATGCCAACCATTCGGGTGCTACTCATCATCTCCCTTCAAAGAGGTTGGCCCATTCATCAACTAGACATCAATAATGCCTTTCTACACGAAGATCTTCAAGAAGATGTTTACATGTGGCAACCTCAAGGCTTCATCGATATGAAGTTTCCAAACCATGTGTGCAAACTACAAAAAGCAATTTACGGTCTTAAGCAAGCACCGCGTCAATGGTTTCATAAACTGATGTCCTTCCTGCTCAATTTCGGCTTCCAATTCAGCAAATCAGATCCGTTGATGCTCGTCTACAACACCCAGGATGTCCAACTCTATCTGCTGGCATATGTCGATGATCTTCTCTTGACTGGCAATCACCAACCCACCATACAGAAGCTGCTATCTCACCTCCAGCAAACCTTCTCACTTAAGTAGATGGACAAAGTCAATCTATTTCTAGGAATCCAAATACAATCATCCTCAACTGGTCTGTTTCTTCATCAGTCACACTACGCCAGGGACATCCTCCATTCAGCCAGCCTGGATTCCTCTAAACCAGTAAACACTATGATCTCTCCAAAGGAATAAAAAAAGGTGCCTGACATCTCACTCCATGACAATCCAACCTTCTACAGATAGATAATTGGTTCTCTTCAATACCTCACTATGATCAGGCCAGACATCGCCTTTGCCACCAACGTCATATGTCAACATATGCACTGTCCGACCATCTCAGAATTCAAGCGCCTGAAACACCTTCTACGCTACATCAAAGGCACCTAAAATTACAGAATGCCGATCATAGCAGGTCCACTTACCATTACACCTATGCCGACGCTGATTGGGCGTCCAGCACAGATGATCACAAGTCCATTACTGGTTTCTGTTCCTATCTGGGTACAAACATCATTTCATGGAGTGTTAAGAAAAAATCCACGGTAGCCAAATCTTCAACATAAGCTGAGTATCGGGCACTTGCTGCGGTAAAATCCGACATTATATGGCTATGTCATCTCCTCCAAGATTTTCATGCTCAGCAGCACGCTCCAACACCGATCTTCTGTGAAAACGTATCCGCCATTACCCTTGCAAATAACCCCATATTTCATGCAAGGAACAAACATATAGAAATAGATCACCATTTCATCAGTGATCACATCCAACGCCAAGCGATCGAAGTTTCTCACATCAACTATATTGATCAACCAGCGGATATTCAAACAAAACCTCTAATAGGGCGCCGGTTTGCTAAACTGCGCAGCAAATAGACCATCTGTAAACCAGAAGATCAATTTGAGGGGGGATGTTAGCGCACCATAATGTGCTCTGGCAGCACATTATACCATCGTGCTCTGCAGCACGAACTCCTGCAACTCTGAGCTAGCAGCCGGCCTCTAATAGCCATCTGACACTCCAACTGATTGTCTCCTACAACTCTATAAAACTCATGTGCTGTATATCGAACACATCAATGGAAATTCTCAAAAACAATTCTTTCTATCTTCTCTGCTTTCTCCTCTTTTGTTTATCTTACTAACCTCTGCAGGCATTTCTATAACATATCTTTGCAAATTATAAAAACCCTCATCCGCAGCTAATTCCTTCACACGTCTAAGCTTACAGAGTTGAGTGTAGAAGTTCAGCAAGTAAGGTTAGCCTCATGTTTAATTTTTTTTTTTTTTTTTTTAGTTAGAATTTTATATGATAATTTTATAGTTCTGCCGAAATATTGATTTGTTAAGTTCTTTACAAGTTTTGTTGTTATTATTATGAGAAGCTTTATTTTTTTTTTTAAGTTTTTTAGATTATATGTTGAGAAATTGATTTTGTTATGTACGTTTAGTGTATGTTTAATCTTTTTAATTTCAGTTAGAAGTTTGAAATATGTATTTGATAAGTGTTAAGTTCTGCCAAAATATATGTTGGTTTAGTTGTTTTAAAATTTTGTTATTCTTATTATGAGAAGCATTAATTATTTTTAAAAGTTTTTTAGATTATATGCTGAGATTTTGATTTTGTTATGTACGTAGTCTTACAAAATTTAAATGTTTAGTGCATGTTTAGAAATCATAGGACTTAGGAAGATTTAAAAATCTTAAAGCTTAATTACAGCTCGTTAAATAGTTAGCTTCCACCTTATTAGTTTCTGTACTCTTGTCAAATTTGAGTATACATCTTGAACATAGTTTTTGGGTGGATTAATGATAGCTAAGAAGATAGTTAGTAGAAGACCTTAAATATCATTATAAAGCATTAAACTACTCATTCCCTAAAATATCTTTAAATACGCATATCCCTACTTCTAGCTCTATAGGAGACTAATTCCTACATGACATTAAACAACTTAATCCATACAAAACCTTAACTTACTCAATCCTTACAAGGGCTTAGATTACTCTAATACATACCACAAATATAATAAAGAATTAATCCGTATATCTTACTCATGGATTGGTAATGGTTAGTTAATGTGAGACTCGGTAAGCTTGAAATATGCATATGTTTTCTTTGATATAAAATTAGTAACAATAATATTGATAGTATGTCTCGATTGTTGATATATTTACATAATATGTCTCGATTGATGCTATGTTTCGATGGAGAGTTACATATTTCGGGCGAGTTCACACTAACATATATTGGCGGACAAAATAGACCGCTCCTTATCGATGTCAATATTTCCCTTGAAATGTTAAAACTAAGAACTATGTTTGCACTAAGGATAAATTCAACAACAAATACTATTAACCTCACATGTCGTCTTCGTGATAATGGTGGATTTTGTGCGACCTATGTCATCGATGATGAGGTTTTGTGAGTACATGTTGATGCATGCTAGAACACATATTGTCATCGTATATGTGGAGGTTGAGCAAGTTGAGCTCAAGCTTACATGTGAGTTTCAACCAATGAGTTTGTTAATTCTTTGAATGAACATGTTCATCGGCCTCATTTAAATTTTATGTAATAGGCCCACTCTAACATCTGATGCCTTTATGGCCAGTGTAAGAGACAGTCCGAGAAATGTTGAAGATGATTTACATGGTCGCCTTAGTTTATGTGAACGACCAACTTATTTGACGCAACAATTTCCGTCACGACCTAGACCTAGTGTCGGTGAACATCCATCTTGCGAGACAACTAACTATACTCAGTTACAAGATATCCACCCCTCTGTGCCTTACATGCAGCGTAATTCACAAAATGATCAGCAATACATAGAGAAAAATTCTTGTGGTGTAAGAGATCAAGTTGAAGGGTACGAAACGATGAATATCGATAGTACTAATTCATCACATAATGGTAGCTAATAATAATAACTATAATAAGAAAATTAACTTTAACAATAAAAATAATAAAAAAACAACTTAAAACAATAAAATATTCTCATTTTTCAACCTATCTTTCTTATAGCATATTAAATATGAAAGAAGAATAAAAATATAACAATTGAGTAACATTACAAATTTTTTTACAAGACTCACAAATCATTGCCAATAAATAGCTACATATAAATCTAACAAATCATTGCTAATACATAAGAAAATCATTACTTGAATGCGCGAAAATGCATGCAAGCGGAGTTCAATGCGCCGTTAAATTTGCTTCTTCTCCTAAAAACTACTTCGAACATGTTGCTTCCAAAAATTTGACCTATTGCAAATTCTAATCCTCTCTCTTCCATGGAGACCAGGGAGGATATTATGAGGAGGTCTTCAAGAACTAGCAGATCTCATGCAATGGACCAGAGGAACCTTCAACAAAAAAAGCCAAAAATGACACAATCGTGGATAAGGTCTTTCAACCTGGCAACTTGATGCTAAGGAAGGTAAACACAATAGCTCATCAATCAATGCTATGAAAGCTTAGGTCAAGTGGAAAGGATCCTACATAATTAAGAAGCAATTTGGCCTTAAATCATATCAACTGCAAACACACTAAGGGGCTGTTTGGTATGCAGAATTAGGAGGATAAAGTAATGTATTTATGTGCATTTCGTAAATTATATTGTTTGGTTAGCTTTGAACAAAAAGTAAGGAATTCAACCGATGCATCAGCCGTGTATTACTAAAGCCCTTTTGATCGACTTCGAAACCCGCTCAAATTGAGCGGGTTAGAAATCCTCTCAGCACTGAGGACGCTGTCGGCGTTTAGCACTTCCCTCTCCATTAGGAAGGCGTTGTTTGTGTCGAGGCAGAGAAGATTTCTGACCAGAGAAATCCTTGCAGTTTCTTCGTGGATTTTTTCTCTCAATGCTCAGCCCGCAGTTTCCTCGCCACCTTCCCCGAAATATTCATCAACGTGGGTGTCCTCTCCGACTTCATCTCCAACTTCACTTTCTCTGGTCTGCCGGAATACATCAGCTGGCACGTGATGTTCCTTGTCGGAGCTATTCCTCCAATCCTAATCTTCGCTTGCATCCTCATCGTGATACCGGAGTCTCCACGCTGGCTTCTGATCCAGGGGTCCTTGAAG